ACAAATATCGATCTCTTCCAGTCAGTGGATGTGTATATGCTTGTTTTTTTATTATCTGCTTTTATCAGTATAGCAGTATAGTATAGTAATGATCTGCAGAGTCCACTGTATGGGTATAAGTTATGGGTGTGATGCTGGAAGCTATGCTGCTAGTGTGTCAAATGCCAGAAGAGTCACCACAGTGGGCAGATTGCAGCAGAGCTCCTAGATAAAAACAGATTAGAAGCAGGACTGGCCATCTACTTCTGAAAGAACAGGTCTTCAAGACTCTATGAAAAATAGAGAAGTGCAGGTAGGTATTGTATTAGAGGTAGAGCTCAAACAAGAAGTCACTGAAATATAAGGAAAAACAGCTGCAAACAACCATTAGAATGTGGAATGTACGAAGTACAAATGTAGGAAAACTGGAAGTTGTCAAAACAAAAATGGAACATGTGAAAATCAACATTCTAGTCATTAGTGAATTGAAATTGAGAGGCCTGGGCCACTTTGACTCAGACAATTATATGATCTACTAGACAAGAACTGAAAAACTGAAGAAGAGTGGTGTTGCATTCATAATTAAAAAGACAATTTCAAGGTCCATCCTAAAGTACAATACTGTGAGTGATAGGATACGATTCATAAACATACAAAGAAGACCTATTAACATGACGATTATTCAATTGTATGCAACAACAAATAAAGCCAGAGGAGGATTTGATGATTTCTACTAATTCTGCAGTCCAAAGTTGATCAAACATGCAATCAACATGCACTAATAATTACTGATGAGTGCAATGGAAAAGTTGGATACAATGAAGCTGGAATGAGAAACTACAACTTGGTGATAGAAATGGGCCTAGAGAGAAAAAGATTGCATTTCGTACACTCATGACTTATTCATAGTAAATACTTTTTAAAAGAAACACCAAAAAAGGTGACGTTACATATGGACCTCACCTGACGAACTGCACAGGAATCAGAATGGCTGTGTCTGTGGAAAGAATCTCTGGAGAAGCTCAGTATCAGCAGTCACCAGACCAGGTGCTGACTGTGGAACAGACCATTAACTACTTATGTGCAAAGTCAAATTGAAACTGAAGAGAGTAAAATAAATCCACAAGAACCAAAATATGTCCTTGAGTCTATTCCACAAGAATTCAAAAATTATCTTAATAGGTAGGTTTGAGGCACTAATCATAAATGATTGAAAATAAGAGGAGCTGTAGGATGAAATCAAGAATGTCATACATGAAGAGAACAAAATACATTACTAAAACATGAAAAAAACCCTAAAATCTATTTCAGAAGAAAGCATGACAATCGCATTATATTCAAGAAGCCAAAATCAAGGGAAGAAATGCTGACGTAAACGAGCTAAACTGATTTCTTAGGACAGATCAAGAGGACAAAGTTAAGCACAAAATGTGCAAAGCACTGGACTCAGAGAATAAAAAGGAAAGAATTTGCTTAGCACTTCTCAAGCTGAAAAGAACTGAAAAAACAAATTCGAGCCTCAAGTTGCAATACTGAATGATGCAATAAGCAAGATCTTGAATGATCCAAGAAACATCAAAAGATGATCAAAGGGAAAGGGGGGAGGGAGAAAAGAGGAAAGGAATAGACAGTTATTGTACCAAAAAGAACTGGTTGACAGTGAAATATTTCTGAATGTACCAAATAAACAAGAGGCAATGGTAACAGTGGAAAAAGTTCAAGCTGTGTTGAAGACACTGGCAAAAAATAAGGCCACAGGAACAGATAAGTTACCAATTGAAATGTTTTAACTAACAGATGTTAATTCTGGATATACTCAACAGTCTATGCCAGGAAATTTGGAGAACAGCTACCTGACTGCCTGGAAGAAAGCCTATTTGTTCCCATTCCCATGAAAGGTGATCCCATGCAATGTGTAAATTATAGAACAATATCATTAATATCACATGTAAACAAAATACTGCTGAAGATCATCCAAAATCAGCTAGAACAGTACAGTGACAGGGAACTTTTGAAGCTGAAGCTGGGTGTTGTTTTTTTTTATTGTGTACCGCTGCATCAGATCTGACTGGCACAGGAGGAGGCTGCCCCTCCTTCTCCAGTGGAGCATCTGGTGGATTCGAAGCATGTGCCTTTGGGATTGTAGTGCAGCTTCTTGCCACTAGGTCACCAGAGCTCCCGTGAAGCTCGGTTTGGAATAGGCCGTGACACCAAGGTACTACTGATGTCAGATGGATCCTGACTAAAAGCAGAGAATACCAGGAAGAATATTCCTGTTTATTATATCAATCATACAAAGGACTGTGGATGGATCACAACAAACTACGGCTAATATTAAAATTGAGAATCCCAGAACAACTTAACTGTTAATTGCTCATACAAAAACAGGACAAAGAAGCTTCTGTTCTAACAGAAAAGGGAAACATTGCATGGTTTAAAATCAGGAAGAGTGTACAGCAGAATTGTATCCTTTCTCCATATGAGTAAATAATCTGTGAGGGCAGATTCTATGAAGAAGCTGGCATAAATATCTGAGGAAGATTCATCAACAACGTGCATTATGCAGATAACACAGACTTGCTTGCTGCAAGTGAGGACTGAAACACTCGCTGCAAAAGATCAAACACTATAGTCTTCAACAAGAATTACATCTCGTGGTGAGCTCTGTTGGCCTAGTGGCAAGAAGGTGTACTGTAATCCCAGAGGTGCACGGTTCAAATCTACCAGATGCTCTGCTGGAGAAGGAGGAACAATCTCCTCCTGTACCAGTCAGATCTGATTTGACACACACACACACACACACACACACACAAAATAATAAAATAAAATAAAGAATTACATCTCAACATCAAGAAAACAAAAGGTAACTTCATGACTGATGGAGTAAGTGTTGACAGTCAATGACATTATGTTACTTGGACCCTCAACAACATCTCTGGTCAAGCAATCAGGGGACAGACACACTGTTTTGTGCAAGTCTGTTGTCACAGAGTTCTCCAAAATATGGAAGAGCAATAATGTCAGTTTAAAAATTAAGATGCTGCTGATTCAGGTCATAGTCTCTATGCATCTAAGAGATGGACAATGAATAAGGATAAGAGAAAGTATGCCTTTGTGTTGTGGTGCTAGAAGAGAGTACTGAACATCCCATGGACTGCCAAAAGAGTGAACAGATAGGTCTTTGAAAAGGGTGCAGGCAGAATGCTCCTTGGGAGCAAGAATGGCAAAGCTCGTCTCTCATACTTTGGACATGTTGCTGAGAGGCTATTTCTTGACAAGGGATATCATGCTGAGAATGGTGGAGGATTAGTAACAGGGAGGAAGACACTCAATGAGATGGACCCAGTGACTGCAGCTATAGACCCAACTGTAGCAGAGATGATGACGCAGGGTGCAGGTCTGTTGTTCAGAGGGCCATGATGAGTTGAACTTGACAGCATTAAACAACAATAATTATCTAGTTCTGTGGAAGAGCTTATCTTTAAAGCCCTAAGCTCAGAGGATACAAACAGGCACTTCACCGAAGACGACATTCAGATGGCTAACAAGCACATGAAGAAATGCTCAAAATCCCTAGCCCTAAGAGAGATGCAAATTAAAACAACTATGAGATATCATCTCACCCCAGTCAAAATAGCAAAATTTAACAGAACAGCAAGCAACAAATGCTGGCGAGGTTGTGGAGAAACTGGAACCCTGATTCACTGTTGGTGGGAGTGTAAAATGGTGCAACCCCTGTGGAAAGCAGTATGGCGCTTTCTCAAAAAGTTGCAAATAGAGATACCATTTGACCCAGCAATTCCACTACTGGGAATATACCCTGAAGAGACCATAGCTGACATCCAAGCAGATATATGCACACCCATGTTTATTGCAGTTTTGTTCACAATAGCAAGGAGTTGGAAACAACCTAAGTGCCCATCAACAAACAAATGGCTAGAGAAACTGTGGTATATTTGCACAATGGAATACTATGCTGCATTGAAAATCAAGGAACTCATGCAATATTATTCAAAATGGTTGACTCTGGAGAACATTATGCTGAGTGAAATATCCCAGTCACAAAAGGACAAATATTACATGATGCCACTGTTGTAGAATGGGACTGTCCTTGGGGTTGGGGTGAGACTGAGTAAGATGGGTTCAATAATGTATATTGCACTGAAACAGAGGAGGGAGAAAACTGTATAAAAGAGATATATGACTAGGTATTTCTGTCATCACAGGAGTCTAGAGCGAGGGCTGCATGGTGGAGGGGACTTGGGGGAGGGTTTGTAAAACAATGAAAGAATCTTTTGTTTTACTTTTCCATAATTTTTGGACTCATGTACTTATAACTTGTTAGTCAAATTTGTGTCTTCTAGGTTGCAACACCCCCACGATACATCTTCAAGGATATGAACATGTACGGCTAAGCACAACTGATAACAGTGCATCTAAATTCCAAAATCAATCTCCATAATAGTCTATGTGTTTCCTACTGCCAAAGGGGCCCTTTAGAGTAGTGAGAGAAGACCTTCACCCTGAAACCCACAGCGTCCCTTTTCAGCAGGAAGTAGCTAAAAGAATACGCCATCCCCTTTTCCTTATGAATCAGGGTGAAGTCTCTCTCAGGGAGGAGTGATAGGGAATGGCAAAGGACACACTGACAAAGGAGATTAATCAGAACTGACTTTGATAAGCACTGTGGCAATTGGACAATTAAAACAGACATTCGGATGGCGGGGGAAGAAGAACAAACTGGGGAGGAGGGTAGAGAGAATGGTGCAGCAATGAAGGAATGAAAACCCAAAATCCCTGTAAATGTTCATTAAAACTAATAAAATTTAATAATAATAAAAAAAAATAAAGAAGCCCTAAGATGAAAATTGACAATGCATTTTAAAATATTTTTTACTTTAAATATCACTAAACAAACTATAAGTTTCAATTTTGTATTATTATTATTATTATTGATAGCATCTCAAATATCTCTCAAAAGCTATCAAAATCTTAAATTGCAGCAAGACATATATACATACATGAACTGGCATGTTGAAATAATCAGATTTAAAGGCATCTGCCATTTCTCCAAAAGTACGAAGAGTATAGTCTCTGGCTGCTTGTTCAAAACCAAAAGCTTCTTGTGGCTTATTACACTCCTAGTGGGGGAAAAGGGAGAAATTATTACACTCTATTTTAACAAGAGTCCTTGGATGGCATAAACAGGGAACCAAAAGATGGGTGGCTGCAGCACCTCGGAAGAAAGATTTGGAACTGGTTTGGTTTGGGTTTTAACAACCACAGCTTGAAATAATACTTATAGAAAGCAGCAGCCTAAAGATAATCTCACCAGGATCAATTAAAAGTTTTCAACACTACACATGAAAGAAACTGTCCTCCTAGTAAGTATTAAAACTATAAAATCAACATGTATGGATCAACAGCGATAACAAATTGCATGGAAATATAATGACATTCAACAAACAGTAATTGATTATGGTTAAACAATACTATGGAAAACAAAAAAACTGAGAGGTACACAAAGCATATGTATATTAAGCTGCACTAACATGGTGAGCCACTAGATTTCAAATATTCCAGATCCACTGATATTCCTCTTAGGTACTAAATATTGAATTTGCATAACAATTGCCCCACTGTACCCAAGCCTAATATGTTCCCCACGATTGGCGTGACTTTATGATGAGCGTGGCTGTATGGAGAAACTGTAAATTTCTGTTTTTATGTGTATATACACACAACAAACTCCAACTATGACAAGAAAATACATGAACTGTCTGCTTCTAACACAAAGCACTCAAAGGTGACAGCAAGTCCTTTTAAGAGTTTTTCTGTGATGTTATTAAAAATATTATCAATAATGAGTACTACATGAAAAGACCTATATTAAGTTTATAAAAGAAAATAGATTATTAAATTGTACATAGTTTCATTCCAATTGCTTTTAAAAAAAATCTATATACAAATAGAAATAAAATTTGGATGTATATGTACCAAAAATATTAATGGTTAGACATTGTGAAATGCTAATTTTTAAGTCATTCAGTGGCTTTTAAGAATTTCTTCAAAGACTATAAAAATCCTTTTAAACAAAAAAAATTTTGTTTAATCACTTTTATATAGACATAATGTTGTTGTTGTTATGTGCCATGGAGTCGTTTGCAACTCACAGTGACCCTTATGGACAAAAGCCCTAAACCCTGCTCTATCCTGTGCCAACTGCACTGCCTCTGACATACCAATCCCAATTACCCCAGTCACTGAATCAATCCACCTCACAGACGGTCTTCCCTTCCTGCGCTTTCCCTCCACCATCCCACGCATGATGTCCCTCTCCAAGGACTTGTCCCTCCTTACAACATGCCCAAAGTATGTCAGACAAAGCCCCCAGTAGCTGATTGCATAAAACTGTGAAGCTCACTTCTAAGGTAATTTTCCTATTTTGGACAACAGAATTTTTTTATATGGGCCTCATTATTATACACTGACAAATTTAAAACCAAAGGGCAATAAATAAATGATCTATAAGAAATTTTTTTGTACACCAATGTTCACAGCAGCATTATTCACCATTGTAAGACTATGCAAACAGCCCAAATGTCCAACCACAATCAAAATGATTGAGAAATTGTGGTACATTCATACAATGGAACACTACGCTGCACTCAAGATCAATAATTTTGAAAATTACTGTTTAACTTGGGAGGGACTAGAGAGCATTATGCTAAGTGAACTAGCTCAGTCTCCTAAGGCCAAATATTGCATAAGACCATTATGGCAGGAATAACAAAATAACTACTAAAACACATATGAGGCTCCAAGAGGGGGTTTAGGAGTAGAGGGGTGTGGATGAGTGGGGGGAAGGAAATAATAAGGTCACATAATTTGATGGGTGGAGGGAGGGGTTGAGTACAGGAAACTGAAAGATCTGGTGGGGATTGCAAAGAAAAGGTAACAGTGGGCATGGGTCAATGATGATTAACGGGAAGGAGTGTATGAAACACACTGTGAACTAAGGATAGTGTGAAACACAATACAAACTTTGTAAGCAAACCAATATAAAAATTTAAAAAGAAATTATTTTTTTTAAAAAGGAAATTTTCTATTCTACCTCTGCCATCAAGTCTTACCTGAGCCAAACACTTAGGACATCTCCAGTCTCCCTTGGGAACATCATGGAGAGGTGGAATCAAGCAAAATGTATGGTAACTGTCATCACAGCCATCACACAAGAGAAGTCGATCCTCATCATTGCCACTGCCACACAAGAGGCAGACATACAGATCCACCTACAGCAAAAAAAAAAAACAAAACAAAACGGATTTAGAACAAGGACTTGTGATACTCTTACAATTTATGGAATTCTAAGGATGAAATTAATCCATTCTCCCCAGTATGCTTCAAATTAAAACCCTTGACCTTCTCTAAGGGATACTTCCTAATACTTCAAGTATCCTCAATTGTAAAGTGTAATCTTCTTGATATTATTGTTAGGTGCCATCATTCAACTATGACTCACCGTGACATAATGAACAAGAGATCTGAAACGTGCCCTATCCTATGCCATTCACATCATCTCAAATATACATAGATACAGTCACCATGTCAATCAATTTTGTGGAGGCTCTTTATATCTTTCAGATATAACATGATGTCTATTTCCAAGGACAGGCCTCTTTTCACAACACGCCCAAAATATGTGAGACAAAGTCTCACCATCCTTGCTTGCCTCTAAGAAGCACTGTGGTTACACTTTCTCCAAAGATATTTTTATTCTTTTGGCAGTCCAAGGGATAGTCAGTACTCTTCTCCAACACGACAACTCAAATGTACTGATTATTCTCTACTCATCCTTGGTCACTGTCCAACTTTCAGACACATAGGAAGCAACTGAAAAGACCACAAGTAGGATCAGATCTGTTCTTCAGCACTTCAAAAGGTCCTTGGCACCAGATTTTCCCAATGGTGCCTATTTTTGTTTTCCTTAGATATTATCCATATTTAAGGTTTTGATCTTCTGCAGAAAAAGCTTCTAGTTTTCCTCACTTTCAGCAAGCATGGTTGTGTCATCTGCATAATATGGTTTGTTGATGAATTTTCCTCCGATCCTGATGCCATATTCCTGTTCAGAGTCCAGCTTCTGAATTCTTTGCTCAGCAAACGGACTGAATAGGTGTGGAGGATGTACAGCCCTGGTGCACATCTTTCTTGGTTATTTAAACCATCCAGTGTTTTCCTGTTCTGTTCAGACAACAGTACCTTGGTCTAGATAGAAGTTTCACATGAAGATAATGAAAGTGTTCTGGGATTCTCATTCTTCTCAATGTTTGCCATAATTTGTTATGGTCCACACCAAGATAAGAAATTTTTCTAGTCTTCTCTGCTTTGTGCCAAGATCCAACTAACATCAGCAATGGTATCCCTAACGTCAGGGCCTCTTCTAATTCCAGCTTGAACTTCTGGAAGTTCTTTGTCATATATGGTTCTAGTCATTTTTTACCTTGTTTGGAGACGGGAACAAATATGGATTTCTTCCAGTCTTCCAAATTTCATGGCAAAGACTGGTAAGCATGTCAAGGGTTTTACTGTTTGTTGAAATATGTCAACAGGTATTCAATCAATTCTTGAGGACTGATTTTTTTACCAATGTCTTCAGTGTAGCTTGAGCTTCTTCCTTATTTACTATTGGGTCTTAAGCATATGCTATTTCCTGAAATAGTTCCAGGTCAGTCAACTCTTTTTGGCTTTGTGACTGTGTATTTCTTCCATCTTCTTTTAAGATGTTTCTTGCCTTATTCAAGATTTGAAATAGCATGAATTTCCTGTTCAAATTTTTCAAACTCCTAGCTTTCTCAATAGTGTTTTATTATTTGAACATCTATATGTGAACATCTAGTTTTCAGAGCCTTATAGAAAGTAATGTAGAAATATATGGTGCTGGGTATTAAATTATCAATCAAAGGGAGAAGTAAGTAGTAAATGCTTTTCTTATGTTGACGATAAGGGTACTGCCACTGCTCTGAGGGTGGATCTGAGAAGATGTTGTGGACACAATGTAGAGTATAGACTGCTATACCATCTAGTCACACCAAAACCATAAAATTATTTAGGAAATAATTTTTTAACCACTTTTTTATTATTATTATTAAATTTTATTAGTTTTCATGAACATTTAGAGAGATTTTGGGTTTTCATTCATTCATTGTTGCACTGTTTTCTCCAACATCCTCCCCAGTTCGTTCTTGTTCCCCCCACCAATGTCTGTTTTAACTGTCCAATTGCTACAGTGCTTGTCAAAGCCAGTTCTGATTAATCTCCTTTGTCAGTGTGTCCCTTGCCATTCCCTATCACTCCTCCCTGAGAGAGACTTCACCCTGA